ACAGCATCTGGAAATATTGAAGTTGGGACCCCAGCAAGGAGGCCAAGAGGTGGGAGACAGGGTGGATGTTTCCTTGTCCTCCCTACTCCCTATATCTCCTTGCACCAACACCCAAACAATAAGTGGGTGCACACACTTCACTTTGAAGTCGCCCATGCCAGGGCTAGGATGCTGGTTTCAGAAGGGAAAGGTAGAAAAAGGCACATTCTCCTTTGTCCCCATTTCTGGTTTTTAGTCATCCTGGATCTCTGAGGAAGAAATTCCAACTCTTCCAGTCCTGGACAGATATGGGGATGTTTCCTGCTTCTCCGTCTCCCCTTTCATGTCATTCCTCTGTCCTCATTCCCAGAAAAAAGACCACCTCTACCTTCCCATCCTCCTGGGACTATGTGTCCCCCTGAGCCACCCCCCAACATCCCCATGTGGTCCCAGGAGCTCTGCAGATCCTCCAGGTCTCCCTTTCACACACACACACACACACAACCCACCCCAGCCCTACTTCTTTCCTCCCTGTCAGGGAGATCAGTCATCGAGGGTGTCAGAGGCACGGTCCCTGGGGAGGATGAGGAGCGTGGAGCTGGGGGTGGTGTTCTGCTCTGAGAAGGCAAAGCTGCCATCAGCAGGCGCTTTGATCTGCAGACAATCACAGAGAGTGTAGGACCCCGCTCCGCTCAGCCAATAAATAATGGAATCTGTGTGTTGACACAGACAGATTCCCCCCAAACTGTCAGAGAACGGGAGACAGAGAGTGAGTGAACAGGAGCTGGAGGGTAGGGGAGAGGAGCGAGGAGGGAAGAGATGAGGAGGGCCTGTGGGAAAACAGGGAGAGGGGGAAAGGGAGGGAAAACAGGACAAGTTTGGGGAGGCAACATTGACGGGAGAGCCAGGCGAGGAGGAGAAGGAGCCTGGGGAGCACATATTTGTAGAGGGGAAGGAAAATGAAGACAGGAACTGTGGGTGGAAGAGGGGGAGTGCTGCCTGCACAGCAGGCTGGAAGCAGAGGGGAAAAAATATATCATCTGAAGGTGGAAAAGAAAGAGAAAAGAGAAGGAGGAACAAAGGCATGGCAGGGCCCCGGGCTGCCTGCAGATCACACGCTCCCTGAGCAGGGACCATGTTCCCCTCCATGACCGACCCCCTGGCGCAGGAGCTGGTGGAGGGAGGCTTGGGTGAGCTGGCGAAACGGTGCCATCGGGGTGCAGCAGCAACATATTCTGAGCCCACAAGTCCCCAGAACACCTCCTGCAGATGCCCTGTCCCCACGCTCCCCCCTCACCCTCTCCCTGTTCCTTCTCCAGCCTGGAGCTGTTTGTTCTCTGCCTGATGATGGTTTTTTACTGTGCTTGCGACACAGAAATGCCTCCCCTTTGCTCAGGAGCCCCATCACCGAGCCCAGCAGAAACCATCCATCCTTCCAGCAACCCTCCAGCCTGACCTGTCTGCAGCAGCACATCCAACAGGGATCAGGGAAGCCACTGGAGCTGTCTCCTTCCTCCCAGTTTGGAATGCTTCAGAGCACCATTTGCTCCCTCTTGGGTCCATCCATAGCCTGATCTGGCTCAGCCCCAACTTGCTGAGGTGTCCAGGCCAAGCACCACTTGACCGTAGGTGTCCCCTGCTCCCTGCCTGGCCCTTTTTGAGAAGTGGGTGTCCAAGTTTCCCATCCAAGCTCCAGCTGGGAAGCAAACACCCCCCAGCCCAGGGACCCCCTCCACAAGTCTCTTCCTCTACCCCAGCCTCCCATCCCTTGCTGCTCCCTTCTCCAGTAACACCAGCTCCAACCAGGGGTTGGACTTTTGCCTTTACCCACATGAGGCTCTCCCCTGGAGACCCAGGAGCCTCCCAGCCCATCCCCAGCACAGCAGGGCTTTGGGGTACATCCTCCTGGCACCGCTGTAGTGGGTCAAAGGGGTTTCCAGGGATATCACCTATGGATGTTCTTTACCTTAATGATGGCAAATGGTAGAACAGCTGCCTTACTGGGGCAGCAATAGCTTATGGCCTGAACAGTGGGAGGAATGGAGCTCCTGCCAAGATCCTAAACCTCTCTTTTGGGATACAAAACTGGTATAAACCACTGAAAAGATGGGCCTTTGTGCTAATAAAGTCACTGAAGCAGGTAATGATTGGGTTGGCCAAGGCAGAGTAGTGCATGGGGCCCAGCTGGGTCCTCCTCCAGAATCACTCCAGATCCCTGATCCCAGTCATCTACTGGGACAGTGGGAATGCTGGGCTGAATTTAGTCCTGAGCAAGACCTAAAGAGAGTGAGGGGAAGGTGAACCAGCAGGAGAGAGCAGACTTGCCTGCCAGGTCCCTCTGAAGGAAAGAAAAGGGAAAAGCAGCCGGTTGTCAGCGCTTAGCCCCTCCATGAGCCCCTCCCAGGATGAAGCCACAGAAGATGATGGCTGGAAGAGAAGAAGTGGTGGGGAAAGAAGAGTTTTCTCTAGGGTCTGCTGTGACGCTTCTCCAAATGCTGCCATCAATATTTAATGGGATGGAGCCGTAGCAGTGCAGCTCAGGCTGAACAGAGTCCCCCGCCTGGCTGGGACACAGGGATACAGGCAGGTCTGCTGGACTGGGACATCCCTCCCCAGGTTCCCTGAGTCACAAGGTAGAGCCTTGCACCCAGACACAGAACGAGCACCAACCTGCCTGCAGGCACTTTCACAATGAGACCTGTCAGTATACCCCTGCCTGGGTGAGAAACACCCTTCTTTACTCACCAGCTTCCAGTTTTAAGTGGTGGAAGAGCCCTGTCCCCTGAATTGAGAAGCAGCAGGCACAGAGCACCCTCTTTGCTGCAGAGGAAGAAGAGCTGCAGAGCTCCCTCTCTCCTGTTAAAACCCCAAGGCCTGACCCACACCGAAACATCCAGCACCAGCAGCCTGACAGCTCAGCATGGAGATGGTGGGTGCTAATGAAGAAAGAACATGGAGAACCACTTCATACCCCACAGCAGCACCAGGCAGCGGTGGGAGCAAAGGGTTAACACGGCGGCTGCCGGGAATGTTATCTGTCTCTTCTCTAAGTATTATTTCCTCCCATGAAACCAGCTTTTCATCCTTGGCTAGAGGCAGCTCCCGCTGCTGGGAATCCAGCAAGAGCTGGTATCTGCTGCTGCACACACCACTGCTCCCAGCAAGACAAAGAGCTGCTCCCCCGGTGAGAGCAGCCCCAGCGCTGGGACCAGGCGGCAGCAGCAGCCGGAGGTGCTGGAGCTTCAGCCCAGAGGATGCAGATGGCCTCGGGATGGAGTTCAGCTGTGACAGGCTTCCTACCCAAGAGGAATCTGGTTAAAGAAGCCCTCTCCCACTCCATGGTGCTGTGAAGGGATTTCCTCTGCATCTGCCAGGAGAGCAGTGATGGGTCAGGCCTGGGCAGGCTCCAGCCTGGCCATTCTCCCCCCATCATCCGGGAAGGCTTTTCTGGGGGTTGCCCATTTTCACACCTCACCTTGGGACGGGCAGGAACAGCGGGATGCTCCATGGGGAAACCAAGGCAGCAGCCACTGGCTCCAGGGTTATGACCTGGGGAAGAGGGAGGGAGGCCCTTCCCCCGCAGCACAGCTGAGGCTGCAGTGAGGGTCAGGCTGGCTGCAGAGCTGGTGCCTGGGAGAAAATGGCTGCTGCTAAATCTTCTCTGAGATGTTCTAAACTTTTCCTGTGTGTGAAACCACGGCAGCCTCCCTCTCACACCCCGGAGGGCACAAAGGCACAAGCTCTGCCATTCAGCCGGAGCCACGTGCTGCAGTCTAAACAGCGCTGGGTACGTGGCTGGAATGAAAGTGGCCCTTCTAGCTCTGTGTGCTCAGAGAGCGACTCAAGTCAAAGGATTGCCAAGTGAAAAGGGTCAAACCTCCAAGGACAGTTGTATCAGAGTGGTTATATATCATTTCAATAGCATCTTCAACGGGGATTATAATCTGAATTGAAGCGGAAAGACCCGAGGCAATGAAGCTGTCAGCAGGCTAAGATTAAGGAATTAAAACAGCAGCACAACATTACAGGATTTGTACTAGATGTATTAGAAAGAGCAGGCTAAACACACTGCAGCCTTCCACGGGTCGGGAATCTCATATGAGTGCAGAGAAGGGCAAGAGCAAGGATTTCATCAGCATACATAAAACCAGAGAGGAGAGTGAGACAGAGCTACAAAACCCAGCCATGCAAAATATAAATCCCAACTGCAGACAGCAATGAGTCACACAAGGTTTGGCTGAGGTAAATAAAAGCAGAAATGAAGTGGATTTAGGGGAGAGCAGAGGTGAAAGGACACAGAGCTAGCAGAGAGGAAACAAATGGCCCTTAATAACACTAAGGCTGGCAAGATGTGGAAGGCAGCCCAGCCTTGGACTGCCTGATGGACATGCAGGTCCCCTGCACTGTCCTCCCTTCTCCTCTCCCTTTTCCTTCCCATGTTCTTACACCCAAGAATGATGGCAACTGCCTACATGGGGCAGCTGAGCCATGAGAGGGGGGCACAAGCCATGCTACTGAGGTCCCAGGAAGCCACTGCCAGCTCTGTGCAGCTCTCCTCAGTGGGAAGCAGCAGCTCTCACAGCAAAGAAGGAATCAAACTCCCACCAAAGAGCCCATTAAACCAATCCATTTATTTCTGGCAAATTGCACGTGTCTTTCTTTCATTTGCTCTATCCCAGATCAGTTGTGGGGAGGAAATTCTCCCCTGCCTTAAAGATACCAAAGTTACGGGACGAAACACAAAGAAAAGCCGGGAGGGAATCCCTTGCAGGTACAACACAGGAAAGGCTGGGTGACCCAGACTCCATGCAGCCACCAGCTCTGCCCAGCACAAGCTGTGAAGATGCAGCTTGCACCACTCCACACCGCTCACTGCAGCACATTCCTTCAGCTACACGATCCAAAGAGAACCCGAATCACTCCCTGTGCTGCAAACACACAGCCTGGTTGACAACCAGAATAACTCGGGCCCGCAACAACCCTGCCTGGTTGACAGCGAGATTGCTCCTGAACAAGGCCATCTGACACAAAACTATACCCAGCAGAACACTTGCTGCACACACAAGGCCATGGAGCAGTGCTGAGCAGCCAGATCTAGGACACAAAAGGAGATGGGGAGCTAATGACAGGCGGAGCTTGTTCTGCAGCACAGGTAGAGCATGGAATCACTTTTCGCCTCCTCCAACCCATTTCTACTGAGAGATTTACATACAAGTCCTCAATCAAGTCTTTTTAAAGAGTTATCCAGAGTCCCCTGGGTAAAAACAATCTGTTTCAAGAAAGAGGAGAGTCCAGATTTGCTCAGTGGTTCTTTTTGGTTGAGCCAAAACCAGAGAAACCCATCACGGCTGCCATCTCATCATCCTCCTCAAATGTCAGGTCTTCCTCTGCCCGCCTCTTCTTCTCCCTCTGCTTCTCCTTCTTGTAGGCTTTGGCCTTCTCCTCCTGCAGCAAGGGACAGAACAGCAGAAGAATTTGAGCCTCCTGAGCTGAGTGAGCCTTTGAGACACCAGGCACTGCACAGGTAACCCACCAACAGCAACCACGTGTCGGAGGAAATTAAATAGCCAGCAGAAATCCTGGCTGGCAGTCTCTGAGAAGAAGGTTTCCACTGTCTCCAGAGCACCTCAGCTACTAAACTCTGCTGCTCTCTGGGGAGCCCCCCCTGCAGTCCTGATCCAGCCCTGGGGCAACAACACATGAGGGACATGGAACTGTGGGAACAAGTCCAGAGGAGGCCACGGAGCTGCTGCGAGGGCTGGAGCAGATCTGCTTTGGAGCCAGGCTGAGAGAGCTGGGCTGGGTCAGCCTGGAGAAGAGAAGGCTCCTGAAGGGGACACCTTAGAGCAGCTCCAGTGCCTAAAGGGGCTCCAGGAAACCTGGACAGGGGCTTTGGACAAGGGCCTGTAGGGACAGGCCAAGGGGAATGGCTTTAACCTGCCAGAGGGGAGATTGAGATGAGCTCTTGGGCAGAAGCTCTTCCCTGTGGGGGTGCTGCGGT